AAATATCGATAACAAAACCGATAAAAATATCGATTATTTTATCGATAGGTCTCGAGAATCCCGAAAATCTCTAAAATCCAAAAATAGTTCCCAGATTGAGTCTCCGTGTCTCTCTCTCTCTACCTCTATTTTAATCTTCCTTCCCCTATCTTCATCTTTGCTTTTATCGGTATTCTCATCCTCCTCTTTGTCTTTACTTCTATGTTCATCATTTTTTTTCAGCTACATATTCCCCTTCACATTTGTTCTTATATATATAAGTAAAGTATTTAGATTTACCTTGGTCTTCATTTTTGCCTTTATCTTTACGCATCTTTGTTTTTGTTTTTATTTTTACCTTTGCCTTTATCCTATTCTTCATTTATGTACGTAGTCACCTTTACTTTCATTCTTGTATTGGTCTTTTTCTAAGTGTTATTCTTTAACCTTTTGTTAGCAAATTTTTGTTAAATTTTTACCATATGCATACACATAAGAAGCACTTGTTTCAGCCCCAGCCATTTCCGTTGTACCATTTCCGTTGCATCATTTCCATTGCATATACACAAGAAGTACTTGTTTCAGCCCCAATCATTTCTGTTGCACCATTTCCGTTACATCACTTCTGTTGCATCATTTCCATCCCAACCAGATCCGTGTGCAATTTCCGCTGAATTTGCCAATTTACTCCCAACCAACCAACCGCCGCTAAAGAAGTTTCACTTAAAAAAAAACGGTCTCTCGTCAACCGTTTATCCTCAAGCTACAACAGTTTCAAAAATTATTTACTAAATAACGCAAGCAAATGCATTATTAACAGCCAATTAAACTAACGAAGGGTTAGTAACCAAGTACCAAAAGGTTCATTTTTTTATGACACGAAAATAATAAACTGGTTGGCCCCCTTAAAATTAATTATGACCTTCCAACGCCATGTCTTCCATATGTCTGCTCCATAATCAACTTTAATTAATCCGCTTTTCACCTTAACAGCAACATAGCACTGAAATCGGCAACCTGAGAGTCATTTAAGATGCGAATAAATATTAGTATATGACTGCAGACTGAAAAGCTGAAGCTGACTCAAAAGGTCACACGAACTTTCGACCTTAACGTGAACATATGTTGCTGAAGTGTGATGCTGCTAATGTGTCTTTCTGAATTGTTTCTTTAACTCATAATGAAGCTGGTGCCTTTTTAATTTTGCTAAAAGCTTTTCTAACACCGATTTTCTTTTTTTTTTTAATTTCAGTGTAAACACAAGCATTGATTCACGCAATTTCTCTAGCATTTACGTACACATGTATGTTGGCCAATGTCGCTATATACATACGTACATATTTTGTTAAAGACAAAGGCTACAACAAAAGTTTACTCCATACGCCTTTTTGATTTATATTTTTGTTATTATTTTATATACTAAAAATATATGCACGCATATGTGTTTAATGTTCAAGCAGATATATACAAATGTACATACATATATGCATAAACACATGTTTGTGTACATAATGCACACAACATACAATTTTAATTAGTTACAACATGTTTATACATACATATATGTATGTACATAAATCCTGAGAGCACAGACAGTACAAACATAAACTCATATTTGTACTTAACACATTTACGCATGAACGCACACTTGAATACTCGTGGCACACCTCTTGCGATAACTTTGGTTATTTAACCATTTTCACAAGCACGTTCGCGTACGTACATTAGAGTGATCCAGAAATGCATGTGGAAAAATAAAGTCGGAAATTTAATGCTGCCACCCCCTTTTTTATTTTGAGACAAAAATAAATTTAGTGCTCAAAGCGCTCAAAGTTTTTAATGTATTTTATATGAAAAAAAAAAAACTTTTTCAATCGGAAAACTCTTGCTTCTTTTCAGGAGATTTCTAATAAAAATACCCAATTGTTTCTGTAACCATTTTTTCATGGCTACTATATTTTATAGGACCGCCAAAACCTCCGAAAATGCAATGGAGAGACCAAACAAAAATCTTAAGTATTAAAAAATGGTTAAATAAACAATTGGATAATAGTATTGGAGGTCTCGTGAAGAGAACCAAATTTTTCCGATCGAAAAATATTGATTTGCAAGAGCTCTTCACCATTTCTAGGAAAATTTGTTTTTTCCCCATATAATTTACTTGGAAAACTTTTGAGCGCTTTGAGCACTCCCTAAATATTTTTTTATTTCAAAATAAACAAATAGGGGTATATTTTTTTCGATATAGAGCAATCCTAAGGGGTGACGGCAATAAAGTTCCGACTTTAATATTTTTGGACCACTCTAATGTACATACACCGATACACTGATACACATAGTCTGTGTTTTGTTTCTGACAGCAACTTTTTTAGGCGTAGTTATATTATAAGTATAAACTTGACTGGCTGAACAACACGGCGTATGAGTAACCCAAACATTGTCTGTTGCATATTGTATTTGCTACTCCATATATATGTACATATGTATATGTACAAAGTCATTTCACTTACCCAATAACAAAACCACAACAGCTGAATCTCGTACACCCCAATCCCAGCAAGTGCGCAGCGCAATGTATAGAATATTATGAAATTTTCCCATAAGGCAGACCTTTAAAAAGAAATAAGTTTGTTAATATATGTCGCATGCTTGCTGAGATGTATTTTTGTAATAATCACAAAAACAAAACAAAAAAAAGAAATGACTGCCAAATCTTCTTTGTTGCGTAAAAAAAACCTTAACGAAATCTGCAAATTGGGTTTTATTTGAAGATAATATATGGAACTTTATCTTTGTATATTCTACACCTTTACGACTTCCAATTTGACCAAAGTAAAAATGCAAGTTCAGATTTAATGACATATTTATTTACGCTCCGGATTATATTTTGGTATTAAATTTATCATCACCTTCTCTGTCTTATGAATCACGGAGCAAGTTTCGTCTCTAGTCCTACCAGTCCAAGTATCATATATAGTATAAGCAGATTCAATGCTGAATTTAGACACATTTTTCTAGGAACATATTTATCGAAGACAATCTCTTACGCACATGTATCATATATGAGAAATTTTTAACTACATTTTTTTCCACATGAGCATACTTGTAATTTATGCTTTTGGCATATGAATAATAATAACTAGTATCGCGCAGTTGTCTATATTCGACATGCTTGTCATCATTATATAGGCAATAATGCTTGATGTTGATAATGATGATGATTTTGGAAGTCTATTAACATTTCAAAAGATATGTAAAGTTCTTCGGCCAGCATACATGACTAATGTTGTTAGATTGATATACATATATACATCCTGTTTAATATTGTAACAATTCTCAGCTAATATATGAACACCATTCTTGGCGAAACTAAAGAGAAACAAATATACACTTGTAGTTCGCTGATTGAGTTAAGTGGCATTTTGGAAGTTTTGGTTTTTTCTCTTCTGCTTATTTAATGTTTATATTTTTTTTTATAAAAGTCAAGCACATTACATAACCAGCAACACATAAATCCACATTTCAAACTCCTTACAAAAATTATAAAAATTCAACACACTTTAACAAATATACCCAAAAATTTTTAAATTTGTTTAAACTTTTTTTAGAAAAACTTAAGGTATACAGCTTTATGGCCCATTAAATTTTAGTAGGTTAGAGCTCACATTTTAAAATGTTAGAAATTCGCGTTGATTTTTAATAATTTTCTTTAATTTCTTGCTGACGGTGCTAGGGATTTCCCTCCATATAAAAGTAATTGTCAAGCAAACTTTATATGGGAGAAAATGCTCAACACCATCTGCCAAAAAAAATTATACAAACTCAACGCGATTTTGTAGCTTCTCGAAATTTGCACTTTAACCTACTAAAATTTAATGGGCTTTAAAACTGCATACGTGAAATTAAAAAAAGGTTAAAATTTTTGGGTGTAATAGTTAAAATTTATATAATTTTAAAAAATTTTATAATGATTGTAATGATTTTTAATTCTCTATACCTATGAAGAATAGTTTAACCGTAAAAGTGGTGTAAAGAAAACATGATTGCCTATTTATATATAAGATAGATATTATATTTCCATACTCACATCACCATTCCCGTCCTTTTTTTCGCGGTGATAACGCACAGCAGCCAATACAGCAAATTTTGCCACCTCCTCTGTGTGCATGTTTTGACCTTGGAAAAATTAAAAAGTTTTGACACTCAAAAGTTAAAAAGCAGTCCAGTGTAAATTTCGCCTGCAAATACATTACATATCCTGCTTACCATCACTGCAACCGCCAATAAAAGCATTCAAGTGATCCAATACATCTCGCCGCGATGAGCGATCCTGCAAGCCATTGCGTGTGATTTTGTCGAAAGTATTTTCGAAGAAACAATCGAAAATATACTCCATTTTATCCACCAACTAATTTCAAACCAAATATTTCTTAACAAAAACACTTTGAGCAAGTGTAGTAGAACCTCGCTGGCTGATGGTCGTTTATTGTGTAAATAATTCTTCAGTTTCTATAACATTAGGCGCAGCGCTATTTCCCCAACACACATGCATAAGTACGGGTATTGTTCGATAATGCTGCTGCGCACAAAATTACAAGGAAGCCATACAGTGGCAGTGAATAGGCTTTTGTCGGTCGCAACGATATACGTATGTATGTATGTAATTCAATTAGCGGACATTGAACCACCGCAACCTACGTAATATCTCGACGCTAATTTGCTGTGGTAAACACCACGAGCGCTTAAAATTTCAACCAAAGCGTCTATTGAAGCTTTATGCGATTTTCTAATCGAACCCAACGCCCACGTGTGAAAATCGTTACATTTTATCTCAATCGCTTTTCACCGAATCTTACTTATTAATGTATCGTCATCTTATTGTGCGGGTAGTTACATACATATATGCATAAATTATATAGTACAATCTAGGCAGCAGCTAATGGCAGGAGCGTGTGTGCCCATTCAATCGAAGTCGTATAAATATATAAGGCAGTAGAACAATAACAAGAGCATGTACATACAAGAACTGCTAGCTGGAGGATTCCACAAAAATGATTACTCCTTAGTACGTGCAAATTGCGCTCTTTTGTCACTATGTTGCTTTCGTAATTTCTTCTTTTCCTTCCTTCCTTTAGAATTGCCTTTACTAGCAACCAAGTCTCATATTTCGCCTTATGGCGATGGTTCTACTCGCAACGATGTGCGCGCACCGTACCTTTGCCTTGCACACAGCACACGATAACACAAGTTCAACTGACGGGCTTGCGGAAGATGAATGTACGCTTTCAGGCGCTGCAGCAAAAGCTACTTTAACTGCAAAAGCTTGGACATAAGAGTGTGACAAGGCTCTCTAACAAATGTGATAAAGAGTCGCTGGCGAAACGTTATTAGTTTTAATACTGCGATGTGCGAGGAATAGAATGTATATTTGCTATAGGCAATATTGCCAGATTCACGTTTTTAACTGTAAATTACAGTTTTAGATTAGCTCCAAATACGAGTTACAGTTTTTCGAAATTTCCGACTTGAACGAATAACTTAAAATTTCTCTCTAGGCTTTCTTCTAAATCACCTTTAAAGATAAAAGTGGACCATAAAGTAGACGGTTTGCCTCATATGAAACAAAAGTTTTTAGCTGTCCTTTGCATTCCACAGAGAGCATTTTCCCAAATCAACTAGAATTGAACAATAAATAAACTATAAATTCCAGCATAATAGTGTTTTACGAGCTAAAGAATTCTTTAGAAAATTATTCAGGCGGTACTACATTTGAGGTATCGAATCAAATGCTGAAAAAAATTAACAAAGGAATTTACGAAGAACAATGAAACTGAAGTTCATTAAAACAAAATGTGATTTTTATATGCCATTTATGGTATTTCATTTTAAAATAATCGCTTTTTAATATTTACTAGTGTTCGCCCAGTGCTTGACATTCAACGGCTAAAATTAAGGATAGTTTATGTGAGTTGAGTTGAGGTGAAATAACATTAGTTGGAATGGGTTAAGTGGAAATTTTGATAGAAGAATATTTCTTTTCCATTTCTTGTGGGTCATTTTATAAGAATTTTTCGTTTTTCTTGAGAGCTCTTCAAAGTGTAATTGCGAATGAAAACATTGTCCAAAAAATATGCAATGCATACTCACTTACTGTTGCTTTTACCACTAATATGAACTTAACCTTCATCTGGTATTCGCGTCGAAAATGACCCAAAAGTTATACAACTGTTATATTTTTTATGAAAACGTGCGGCTTGAAATTCATTAAATTTCTCGGCTTTGAAAAGCGAAATAATTTGCTTAACTTAAACTAATTTTCGTTCTTTAAATTTTTTATTTATTTAGTTTATCAAAAAAGTTACTTTGGCGATCCTCTTGCGTCGCTTGAGACGCATGTGGGACTGCTTTTTATTCAGAGTTTTGAAACAAAATTTTTATATGGAGTTTTAGAGCCAAGTGTAAGAGAGTGCAAGTTTCAAGTGGCTACAAAATACCGTTAATTTTGGGCAATTTTTTTTTTTTTTTTTGTACTACTATTGGTTTTTTCTGCTCAATAGGTGCATGCAGAAAAGTCCACAATCGACACATGTGCGTAATGTATATAGAAAACAAACTCATTTAAGACTGAGTGAAAAATTTTTGTTAGTTTTCAGCGTGCATGAGAATAGAAAATGCAAGTTTTTTTAGAGCATATGAAGGTTAGCAAGCATTCGAAGATTTAATTTGCTAACTTGGAGTTCGTTCCACCATAATGAGCTACATAATAAAAATACAAGTTCAGTTAAAACTTTCTGTATTCGAAATATTAAAAAAATTAAGCAATCGTGAAAAATCACCATGTCTATAGAATGCCAGGAATCAGAAATCGGCGAAAATGAACATAAAAGTGAACAAATTGCATGGCATTATTTAATTTATTTATACTAAAATTCTTTTGTAAAATTGTGTATTACTTTTGAAAGTTGAGCGCGTCTTGTGTTCATAGTACTTTTTATTAAACAAGTAATTTATAAGCTAAAAGCACAACTGACTTCAATTCTCATATACAAATTTAATTTTTTCATTTAATGATCGGATCTAAACCAAATTACGGGACGACCCTTAAGGTACCATCTTTCTTTCAATTTATGAAACTTTAAAAAGTTTATTTATTGTACATATACATACTTTACATAAAACTTGCATAAATGTATTTTAAAGGTCGTATTATCTGAAGCGAATTTTCAGTATTTTCTGATGATATATATTTAGAAGTATAAGTTATATCAAAAATATATTCTCAAATATTAACGATTGGGGTATTAAAAATCTCAGGTTTTAGCCATATTAAAAATTTTACTATCGAAGAGTGTTTAGAACACTTTACATACACGAATCTCCTTTTTTTTTGAAAGCACAGATTTGTTGAAACTTCTACTATAACAAGGGCAGCCAACCGGTTTTGAATCGAACCGTCGCTTTTTTTTTTTGAAGTGCTAAAAGCGAACCGAAAACCACTCCAAAAAATGGTTCGGTTCGGTTCAAAATGAATACCTACTACAGCATTTTTCAAGTTTTGTAATACACATCTTTGTCTAAAAATTGTATCCCGTATGATCAAACAGCAAAAAATAAAATTCAAAAACCAAAGCGAATTTTAAGATATTATAAATCATAATACTCGGATTTTTTAGTTCTAATTAAAAAAAAAAATATGCCTTGATGCAATTTTGTTGAAATTTGTAGATTTTTTCTAATTTTTTATTAAGATTTAAATTTGGATATGGCTGTTTTTGTAAACGAGCTATACTTTTATAAAAAAATAATGAACATTAAAGCAACAAGAAAAAAAATTGTCAAATGTTGCACTCCTATTACTTCGGCCACAGCTATATTTGTACATATGAAGTTAAGGCCTAGTGTACACTGAGGGAAATAATGCATAGTAAAAATGAATACTTTATGTTTGATTATCGTTTAAAAATGTTCGTATTTAAAAATAATATTTTCATACAAAATTTTTTACGCACGTATTTCACTGTTCACATCTCAGTATGTATATGTAAGTGTACATACGACGCCAAGCATGCAGAGCACCGCTCTGAGAGCGGTGAAAACACACACACACATCCATACATAGCACATACATGTTTATCCGTACAAATCGCGTGCTGTGGTGTTGATGGATATTCAACATTTGAAAGCAAATTTATATGCCTGGGTGTAGCTGAGTGCGCTAAGATGCTTGCCACAAGTTGTTGATATCCGGAGTTCGAATTCCACTGCAGGCAACATGCAAATTATTTTTTCTTTTTTTTAGTTTTTGGCTTAATTATTCACTTCACGGATGCTTTTTCAGTACGAACGCGGTCATTTTAATATGCGCGTAATTGAATTGAATATTTACCAATATACAGTACTTTCGTTGACGGGTATAGTAAGATCAATTACGTTTCTATTTGGTTTTAATATTTTTTCCCCTCAGTGTAAGCTCCAACCTACCGAATATGGGGGTTTAATATTAGGCCAAGATTTTGAGTGTTAATTAAAAATTCTAAGTATATGCTGTCTCTGTCTACTCGTTTAGGCTCACGACTTTTCCAGCCCTTAAACAAGTTTATTACAGTTTTTCTAAATTCGCCCTGATCGCATTGATTTTAAAAAAGTTGTTTGTTTTTTGTAAGTACATATATATGTAAGCTAGGAAAAGAAAAAGTAACGTTAAGGTCAAAAATGCAAAATTCATTCGTTCGCTATCCTTATACATAAACGGTCGTCCAATCGAAAATATATTGTATTATACCCAGATAGAAAATTAATAAAATAGTCAATTTAAATATCTCTTAGAAAAAAAATTCAACCGTCTTTTATTCACGCGAAAGTAAAAAAGAGAATTGCATACTCTTCTATTAAAAAACAAAATTCCCACATACATTTTATGGAAAAAGATCAGTGAAAATTGCCCTAAATCAACTTAAAACTTAAAGATGTTTCCTATAAATGTTTATTAAAAATTGCAAACTTGATGAAACTTTGAATAATTTATAATTTTTGCACAAAGTTTGAAATTTGGATTTTTATATTTAAAAAATAAACATTAAAAACAAAAACAAAACAAAAATTAATTTTGCACCATTATACGTGTGGATGTTCGAATTTGATCTCAGTTTCATATTTTTGCAATTTGTATCCTTTAGCATAAAAAATTTAACAATTTGAACTGAACGGGGTTTTTGCGAATATTCGCATTCTCATTCGCAGAAGCTCCGCGGTTGTTGTGCAAGTCAACCGATAAAACGTATATATGGCGAACAAAATTACAAACTGTAGCCAATATTTTTGCCTGTGGTCGTGGGAGTATTTATGTAACAAAACTGGTCAAATGTCATATTTATCAACTTTGATAAAAATGCCTTTAAACATATCATTTCTTAAGCTGAAGTCATACAAGTTTCAACAAAGAGAACAAAGCCATTTTAACATTTTTTTTTTGTGCTATGTATACCTGCATTGGTTTCTATCTTTATTATGATTTTTTGGACCAATTTAAAAAAAAAACCACTAGCCACAAAAGAAGAAAGTGTGCACTGTAATTCTTAACCAAATTTTCGTGATTTGCTTTTGATGTTACATATATTCGTTTCAATAATTTAAAATGGGGCTCTTTGGGGAGTTTATTTTTAGCAAAAATTTTAAAAACAATAATTTTGTTTACTTGTCGGGCAATATTTTTTTCATAGGGATATACACTGGATCCTTGGCTAAAAACTTCTGTGATAAAACTGTCCATTTTTTGCTATTTAAAGTCAAAGAGTAAGCTCCTGCAATAGGGATTTCCAGCAGAAATGATCAACGTCTGGCTATAAAAAGAAACTATGCTCAAATAATAAAAAAAAAGCTATTAATAGGTGTGACCTTTAATCAGATAAGAATTACGTTACTATCTGAGATCTAAGTGCTTATAAAAAAACAGGGTGCTTTTAAAAAAAAAAAGCAATATTCTGATCCGATTCGGCTGGTAGCCACGACTTTGTAATAAGAATTTTTTTTTAAATTTTCATTCCTGTAAAAATAATAATTTATTTTCCATATACACCGATTTAGCTCGCTATAAGCACAAATTTTTCAAACCAGTCTCAGAAGAAAGTATTAAAAATAATTTACAAAAGCAAAAATCGAAAAACGCTTATGAGGTTACAGATTCCCCAAATTCTGAAACAGCCAAAGGAATGAGAATAAAGAATTCCTTTTAAGAAGCTTTTATGCGATTACACTTTTATAACCGTATAAAAGGCCATGGCCAAAGAGGACGTTTTCATCCAATTTTTGGTATCGTTAGTTGTTTAAGTTTTCTCCACGAGCTCATAACATTTTTTTTTTACCTACAAGCAAAATTTTCAGATTACAAAACTCCACATATTTCATGGTTTCTTACTTATATCTGGTTGGTTTCTTTGCGCGATTCTTTTGATATTCATTTTAAGAAATTAGGTGCTGGGTTTGATTTCTTTAGTTTTGCGATTTTCAATGCCAATTTATTACAGGTTGTCGAGCCAATTATTTGCTAAAATTCTTTTATTAAGTCTTAACGAAATGGTATGAGTAGGTAGGAAGCCTTTGGTGTAAATATTTTAATTTAATTTTCATCTTG